AAAGTATTGGCCACCTTCCCACCATAACCTACCTCAGACAGACTACCACTTCACCTCTCTCCCAGCAAACAAACGACCACATCTTTTTAAACATGGGTTAATTTACTGTGTGTGTGTGTCTGAACATACGCATGCGCCTGAATGTATGCATTTGAACCCCAAACATTCAAGTACCCGTGGAGAACAGAAGAGGGCTTTTGAACCCCTAGAAACAGAGTTACAGGTAGTTGTGAGATGCCCTAAACAGGTGCTAGGAACTGGACCCTGGTCTCCTGAAAGAGCAGCAAGAGATCTTAACCAACCACTGAGCTGTCTCCAGACCCTAAGCAGCCATATCTTTATTGGTCACTTTCCAGGAGTCCTCTCTAGCCCTTAGTAGCTCAGATGTGAAACTCTGATCATCTATCTGTCTTTGTGCTTCCCTTCCTAGAGGACAAGATTCAGTGTTCCAGACAGAATATAAGGCTGCAGTCACTCCCTTGCCTTGGACGCGCTGAAACTGTTATTGTTGTTTATTTGTCTGCAAGCTTGTTTATTTCTTAAGACAGGGTCACTCTATGTAGTCCAGGATGTCCTGAAGCTCTTGATCCTCCTGCCTCTGCCTCCTGAGTGTAGGATTCTAGGCATGTGCCACTATTCTCAGCTATTGCAATGATTAATTTGGCTTGGGGCCTTGACTCTGGAGACATTCACATCGCTCTCTGGCACCAGTGTCCTTACAGTTCAATAGGACTGGCAAGCCATAGGAAATACTGAGAAGCTGGGCTTGCTTCTTTTACTTCCTTTAACTGACTCTAAGAGTTCACCATTTTCTTATGCCATTATGATTATTAAATTTAAATTCCATTGTGCTAATGTTGACCTGCTTATGGATAGTATGAAGGTCATGGACACTGTTTAACACATTCCCAGGGTGATTTGCGTGTGCATTGTTTAAGACATATAGCTGGTACTCTCCATCCTTCTTCTCTTACTCTGGACCAATACTTTCCCTTGTGGCTGTGATACGGCAAATGCTCCTGTGTTCTCCCAGACATGTGCTTTTCAAAGGCTGGCCCTGGCACTGGCAGCATCAGCCTCGCTTTGGAGCTTATTTGAAATGTATTGCCCAGACCCCACCAGAGCCTACACACTCTCAAACAAGGGTAGAACTCAACAGCCTGTTCCAGCCCGCCCTCCAGGTGATTTTGATGCACAAGTTAAGCACCACTTGCACAGATTAATATTGTTTCCTCAGCATAAAATCCTGAGTATCTGGTATTTATTTCTCAGGAGGTTGGAGGAGACCCTAGGTTCCGTTCCAAGGCATGTCATTCTGGCCGGCTGTTTATCCACCCTCCTCTGAGCCAGCGGGTCTCAACCATCCTAATGCTGCCATGCTTTAACACAGCTCCTCATGTTATGGTGACTTCCAACCATATCATTATTTTGCTGCTACTTCATAACTGTAATTTTGCTCCTGTTATAAATTGTAATGTGAATATCTGATAAGCAGGATATCTGATATGTGACCTCCAAAGAGGTCACTGCCTACAGGTTGAAAACCACTGCTCTAAGCCCTAGGTAGAAATACCAGTTCTGGATGCTTCCAATCCCCGTGCCCATGCTAAATCATGAGGCAAGATTTTGCATATGTCTCCCCAGAAAACCAAAACACAGAATTCTGAGATGGGCTAGGGATACTACCTTAAAGCCTACCCCCAGTGACACACTTCCTCCAACAAGGCCACACCTTCTAACCTTCTAATCCTTTTCAAATAGTGCCACTTTTTTTTTTTGGTTTTTCGAGACAGGGTCTCTCTGTGTAGCTTTGGAGCCTATCCTGGCACTCGCTCTGGAGACCAGGCTGGCCTCGAACTCACAGAGATCCACCTGCCTCTGCCTTCCGAGTGCTGGGATTAAAGGTATGGTACCAGTTTCAATCACTGTTATCCAATCATTCTCCATTCAACTCCCAAGAAGACTGAGGCAATCCAGTCCTCTGCTATGTGTTGGGGCCAAACTAGCACTGGGCCCCTGACTCAGCTGGGCACCTGCCTCCTGCTGCCCCACCATTGTGGGTTCACAGTGATGTTCCCCATAACCAGACCATGCTTTCCAGCTAGCTCTCCTTAGAAAAAAAGGTGGATGGAGAGGGAGGCTGGAACGACCCCAGTCACTGTTTTGTGAAGAAAAAGAACCAAGCCTGGAAGCTTTTGTTTGTGCTCTGGGTCTGAGATCCAGGCTTGGAGAACTGCATCCGGGCTTTGCTTCTCTTGTGAGCCCAGCTCCCTGCAAACATTAGCTCTACAGACATGATTCTAGCATGCTTGTACAATAATCCTGGGGTCTTCCCAGACTGTGTTCTGGACAGTGTGTTTACCGATTCCTCTTAAACAGATATTTGTGTGCGTGTATAACATGTAATGCGTTCTGTGCGTTTACTTTCATTGTGGTCAGAGCACTTAATGTGAAACGAGGAGACTTCAGGTGTACTGCGCAGGCTTATTAACTATAGGTACCAGGTTGCACACCAGATCTCCAGAACTTACCTTGCAAAATCACAACTCTGTAGCCACCACAGTAACTTCTGTTCCCTCTCACCTCCCGGGCCCCAGCAATCATCATCACTTCTATGAGTGCAAGTGCAATTTCATCTCCAGAAGCTCACACTCGAAAAGCTCAGGATACCCAGTCTTCTACCATTACACCCTTTCTCCTCACTCACCTACCCTCATGAGACCCCGCCTCACCCGCTTTATCTCTCCCATCTGCAGGAATGTCCTCCATTCTCCTTGGACCATTTGAGTCAGCTCCTTCTCTGTGAAACCTTCCATCCATCTCTCCCTATCCCCAGACGGCTTTGTTTCCCTTTTGGACTCTGGCTTCACTTTTGGTCTAAGAAAGTATTAGTCATGTTTCCTGTAGTTTGAGTCACACTTTGTATCCTGACTGCTAGATGTGATGTACATCCCACTTACAGACTGTATTTTATTTGTCCTTACACGCCGCAGAAAAGTTACTCACAAAGATGGGTGGCAAGAATTGCTTAGCTGGGAGCGCATCCTCCGAGTGGGCACATGCATTCCCACGGGCACGCGCCCCACTTCCTGTCCACTGGAGTCATTCCTGGTCAGACTAGGGACTAGAGAATCTCGTGGCTATGCCTTCCTTTTTGTGCCCTCTTTCTTTTGCCTGTGACTTCTCTGAGATGTTTGCAGAGTACTCGGCATGTCTAAAGCACATTTCTTTACTGAGTTCGTCATCTCTCCCTGCAATTTTACGTCTCTGGTCAATGCTTCTCTGTTGGGCTGGAAGGAAAGGCAAAGGTGATAGCCCCTGCGCTATTTTCTCAGTCTTCTAATGACACAACCCAGTAAAGATAAAAAAGGTGAAGAGCTTATCAGGAATTAGTCTGGAAGGTATGCCAGGAAAATTGCTCGTTTGAAGCCATGTTGGGCTTCACAGTGAGAGTGTCTCAAAAACAAACAAGCAAACAACAATAAAAAGACAGGATCTGGGGAGATACTGTGATAAGTAAAGTGCTTACCTTACAGGAATAAGTTTTAGTTTGGTCCCCATTAAAAAGGACAGCATCACACACGTGTAAGCCTAGCACTGGGGAAACAGAGAGAGAAGGATCCCTGGGTTCACTGAGAGACTCTGCCTCAAAACAATAAGGTGTGAAGTTCTTGAGGAAGACACAAAACACTGACCTCTGGGCTTTACATGCAAATGCACACGTGTGCACACACCCATACCCACACCCACACTCACACCCACACCCACACCCACACACACACACACACCACATACAAATAAATAAACAAAAAAGACACTTATGGGGCAACAAGGAATAACAAAGGATACCACAGCAAAAGACAGAAAGGTAAAAGAGAGCCACCACACTGGGGGAAATATCCATCCATTGCTCATCTAGAAAACACCTGTTCTGGGCACACGGCTGTTCTCAGCCCTTGGCAAGCTGAATTCCAGGGTAAAACAACTCTGATGAGGAAATACATAAGCTGTGCATGAATGAAAGAAGCAGAAGGCAGAACACACGGGTTGCTGGCAGGTGCTCTAGGTGGGAGTCTAGAAGATTCGAGGGGCCTACCTAAAAAGAGAAGAATGTGCAGGGCAAAGATGGGAGCTGGACCAAAAGGGCCACTTCCTGTGACATTTCTCAATCTTGGCTTCAGCACAGGGTCACCTCGGTAAACTACAAGACCCCCCAGGCCTGGCTGCACTTCACACTAACTCCTCCAGATTCTCCGGATATCAAGGGCAAGATGAGCTTGACAAGCTCCCTTGCCTGTTTCTGAAGTTCCCAGAGGGTTGAGCTTCAGGCTCACGTGGTCTTCCACATGGAAAGGATAGGTTTACTCCAGAGCTGCCCTCTCTTCTTGGGGTGTTTAATTTCACTTGCATGTCTAATGCCAGACCTATGCCTGTGGCATCTAATTTACAGCAAATTAAAATGCAAAGCAGGATGTGACTTAGCAGTTTAAAGGGTAAGAAGGGAGAGCACCACCCAAGAACCCAAAATAGCATCTGGTGGTTTGAATTCTATCAGTGGGTGGCGTGGCCCTCCCTTAACTGATGCTTGCTTCGGGGAAGCAGGATAGAGTTTTAACAATCAGCAACTGCACACTGCATTTTGCTATTTAGCTTAAAAGACTATCAATGGAGTCACTACAGAGAATGAAAATACACCTTTTAAAACTTCTCCATCACCAATGAAAACGACTTAGCTTTTTTTTTTTTTTTTTTTTTTTTTTTTTTTTTTTTTTTTTTGGAAATGTGAAAACCTCAATGAGTAATCCTCTATAAGCACATGAAGCAAGAGCTAAAACAAGAAACTAAATACCCCATTGGGTCACGTATCAGATATACAGACTTGAAGTTTGTTCTCTGCCTAACTGAGAATCTAAGCTCAATGCAAACTCTGTACAATGAAGCTCCTGAGATGTACTATAGAGGTATTGTTCCAGTATTACCAGAGCAATAATAAGCCGTACCTTGTGAAGGAAACACAACTGTGTTGAATGTTGGTGGTGAGAAAGAGCCACAGAGTAAGTTTTAAACTTAGCAGAAGAACAGCTGAGAAGAAATGAACAGGAGATTCTTCAAAGGGTTCAAGTTGGGAAAAAAAAAAATGAAAGGAAGTAGAAATAGAAGGAAAAGTCAGAACAAAGCAAAAGGAAAACCTGGAGTGGATTTTGGCAGCTAAGAGCCAAAAGGTTAAGGGAAGTCTAGAGGCACCTCTGCTACCAGGGTTGACACGACAGTGGAGAGATGCAAGATTCGGATTCTTTTAGTCCCTTCCCATTTAGTCTTGAGTTTCTATATCACCCTGAGGGCTTGGTAGCCACTGAGCTGTTTGTATAGCAACCAAAACACACTGTGGTTTGGTTTTGTTTGAGATAGCCTCATTATGTAACCCAGGCTGGCCTTGAACCCGTAGTCTCTTTGCCTCCCACATGCTGGTGACAGGGATATGCCACCTCAATCACATGATGCCCCCCTGCTCCTCAAGCTGCTAGAAAAGCAGGAGTAATATCCTGTGACCTCCAAGACCATGTTAAGAATAGCAACACAGCTGCCATCTTAGACCAAGATGCTTGCCCTTCAACTTGGCTACCGCATTAGCCTCGTTCACTCCTTGTTACCAAGTATCTCACGGTGCAGGGGGCGAGGATTAAAAAGGGTTGGAAGTTTACTTTGGCTCATGATTTCTGAAAGACTTCAGTCTGTCACAGTGGGAAAGGAACAGTGGCAGAAGCTACTGTCCATGCAGCACAGGAAAGAGAGGAAGTGTGCCTAACACTTTCAAAGGCCTACCTTCCATACCCTACGTACTCCCACCAGCCAGACCACAACTGCCAAAGGGACTTCATCTTTCATAATAACACCACAACCGAGGGACTAAGCAGTCAAAGCATGAAACCACGGGGGACACTTCTAATTCCAGCAACCATGCCCAGAGTAGCCAATATAAAGGCAACATAAGGGAGGGCCCATCTGGAAACAAACTGAAACATCCCCAGCTCATGCCAGCATCAACCCCCACAGACACGTGAGCAAGTCAAATGATACAGCCCCTAGCCTACCTGAAGTACTAGCTGACACTGAACGGAACAGAACACAGCCTTTCTGAGTCCTGCCCAAATTGATTTTGTCACTCTTGTAGCTAACCAACTTGTGGAAAGTGAACACACAATGGATAATATTCATCCTGCCATCCCCATCTAAAATAGTACCAATGGGCTATGGATAAAATGAGTTAAAAAATGAATTGTTCGGCGGGCATTGGTGGAACTCAGGTGGCAGAGGCAGGTGGATCTCTGTGAGTTCGAGGCCAGCCTGGTCTCCAGAGCGAGTGCCAGGATAGGCTCCAAAGCTACACAGAGAAACCCTGTCTCGAAACCCCCCACCAAAAAAAAAAATGAATTGTTCCAGGAACTGCCCTACTACCCCACTCCACCACAACAAACTGAGAGTTTGTTTTGTTTGAAATAGAGTTTCATTATGTAACCCAGGCTGGCCTTGAAACAATAATCCTTCTGCCTCCCATGTGCAAGGTCACAGGAATATGTCACCACACTCAGCTTTATCTGAAGACTTTTTACTGATCATGTTGGTGCATGCCTATAATCCCAGCCTTCAGGAGACAAGACGGAGACAAGCCTAAGTTACATATAATAAAATCAGTCTTGAAAAAAGACTCTTGTATGGGGCTGAAGAGATGGCTTGGCTGTTAAGAGCACTGGCTGGCAGCTCTTCCAGAGGTCCTGAGTTCAATTCCCAGCAACCACATGGTGGCTCACAACCATCTATAGTGGGATTTGATGCCCTCTTCTGGCATAAAGGCATACTCATACTCATGAAATAAATAAATAAATAAATAAATAAATAAATAAATAAATCTTTTTTTAAAAAGACTCTTGTTTTTTTTCTTAGCAGCTGCTAATAGAACTGTCAATTGTGACCTTAAAACAAGCTTTATATTTTTTATATTCAGCACCACCACCTGCCAGGCAGAGCTTACCAACTTTTGGGCATAGGAAATACATATCAACTTCCTTTCAAACTGATGTGCTTAGATTTCTCTGTCCAAATAAAACTCCTAGAATAGCTACTTTCCCTATTGCTTAACTAAACACCCAACAAAAAGCAACTTGTTTTGACTTACGGTTTGACAGTACAGTCCGTCAAGGTGGTGAAGGCACAGCAGCTAAAGAGGCTGGGCCCATGGTGGTGGGAGCCTAAAGCTGCTTGTTCACATCTCAGAGACTCAGCTCAGCAGGCAAGCAGACAGGCAGCTGTAAGTCACGATCGGCTCTAAGTCTTGAGGCCCATACCCAATCGACCTACTTCTTCCAGCGAGGCTCCACCTCCTAAAACTTCCACAACTTTCCAAAGTGGTGGCATTGGCTAGGGACCAACTATAACGCATGAGCCTATGAGCTTGTGAGAGACATTTCACAGTCAAATTGTAGCACCCTGCAATCTTGCCTTTATCTCTAGACATGCCAGAGACCACCCAGACCTCCACATATTGATGACTGCAATTCTACGTCTTATCTACTACTAAATAAAACATTTGGCTTGGAGATTCATCTCTATGTAGCTTTGCCAAAATTTGGGGGATAGTTGTTACACAGCACTAGCTAGTATCAGGCAAGCATCTCTGGCAGGTCTCTAGGCTGGGCAAGTGGAGACCATGAGAATCTGGGACCATAGAGCTCATGTGTAAGTGGGTAGCTACTCTCATTCTCCTCAACACAGACCACCAGGCTGCTTCTACCAGGAGCATCCTATTCCTCCCTTCTGGGTTAAACTCAGAAGAGAGCTCTCTGACCATCAACCACAGGCCTCACCTTTGCCTAATACTAGTCCCTTAGGTGAAGCAAGCACAGTTTAGTACATGAACCTATTGGCGGATCAAAGTGAGCATGTTCTGACTAAAGCAGACCGAAAATGTAACGATGACATGGAAAGCAAGTCCCTTGGAGCTACCTTTAGAGTAGACTTCAAGGTCTCTCATGTGTTACGTAGTGATACCTCCACAACAGTTTATGTCCCAGGTTGTGAGCACATTATTAACTGGCAACTGAGCCTTAAAGAAAATGTCTAAGACATCAGGGTCAGTCAGTAAGGGTACAACAAAGAAGAGAACCCAGTTCTGTGCTTCCCAGCAAGGACATAAGCACAGGGGAATAAGGAGATGAAGCAGAAGTTCTAAGTGGTGAATGCATTTAAATAATTGTAAAGAACAATTCTATTGTGAATTGCAGTCAAAATCCCCATTCTACCCTCTGGTGAGAGACAGCACACAAACACGAAGGCCTTAGCTGGAGGTTATCTAGTAAATGCTGTGCTGCAATGATCTACCTAGTCCCACCCCCTCAGGATACCCTGAAGGCTGCATGTGCCCTGAAATCAGAGGATGCCAATGGGGCCACAGGGAAAGCAGAGTTTCATAATAGCATTTGGGTGGAACAACTGAAGCCAAGGGACCAAGAGAATTGACCGAGAGCCACTTATCAGAACAGAGTGAACACCAAACAATCTAGGAAGAGAAAGCCCTGTGTGTGGACCAGGACTACCCAGCAGGACTTCAGTGATGCTGACACTGGAGCCTAGAGATACCCTGGCCATCCCCTGAGCACTAAAATTGAGGCCTATGCAACAAACTAAATTTATGTTTAGTTTAATTTAAATTCATTTAAATTCTGGGTAGACAGTTTTAGAACACAGCACTCTAAGTCACTTATTCTTTTATTTCATTCTCTCTCTCTCTCTCTCTCTCTCTCTCTCTCTCTCTCTCTCTCTCTCTCATGAGAACACAGGAACACTGTGCAAGCTTATACCTCTCTCCCTCTCATAGCCCATGGTGAGTACTGCTGAGTCACGGCCAACTACAATGGCTCAATCTTCAAGTGTCAATTCACATCCAGGCAATTTTCCTTCCCATTTACTTTACTGGAGAGTTAAGGTGAAATAAGGGTAAAACATGATACTTGTTTCCTATGTGGCAGTCAGAGATTTTTAGCTATAAGCCCCCAAAACCTCACACGTACGTCTAGCTCTGTCAACACAGACATAACAAAACTATTTAGAAATATTAAAAAAAAAAAGCATGGTGTTCGTTCACAGGCCATTTCAGAATGTTCTCTAAAAGAGTGTTTGTTCATAATTAAGACAACAGCTTGTGATCCAAGGTGAAAGACAGCATTCCAGAACAATGACAACAGCCAAAAAAAATGTCATTTGAAACAATAATTACCAGCTGCCAACTTGTGGGTGGATAAAAATATTTACCCCGTTCCATTATCTTCAGATGGCAACAAAAGCATGCCCTGGCCAGCCAAGAGTCTTTACAGCCAGGAGAAGGAAGGGCAAGGTGCTCGACCAGGGACCCTAGGCACTGAACAGAGTCCTGGACATTCACAAAGCTGCCCAACAGGCATCATCTGATGTGGCAGACACATAAGAAACTCACCAAGAAAATAGCCTACTTTCCCAACATTCAAACTTAATCCATAATCTGGTGTCCAATTTCCAATGCAATTTTATTTTAGCCACCACTCAACCAGTATTTCTTTATTGACTCTTAGATGTTTCCTCATTCAATGAACTAAGGCTATAGCTCAGTTGGTAGGGAACTTACCTCCCATGCACAAAGTGCTGGGTTTTGTCTACCCACCACATACATATTCCAGGCTATACCAGGCATGGTGGCTTGTGTCTGCAATCCTAACATTCTGCTGGAAGTGGAGCAGGAGGATCAGAAGTTCAAAGTCACCCTCAGCTACACAGACAACTCAACACCACCTTGGTATACATGAGGCCACCTTATAAAAAAATCCCAGTCACAGCAGGCACCCTATAAGGGAGTGTAAATTGTCTGTAGATGACAACTGGACAAAAGAAAAGTTGTCTTTTAAAGCACAGTCAATAAAGGATGGGAATGTGTAGCTCAGTGGTAGAGTATTTAACCAGCATGTCTGTCATCCCTGGGTTCTACTCTATACTAAACATAAGTGACTATCCTCAAAAATGTAGAATTCACAAAACTCAGGGAATAACACACCTAAAAACTCTTCTAAAAATGAAATCCACCAAACATCAAGTTAGTAAAATAATAAGAC